GTAAGCGTACAACACATCGTCTTTAATAGCCAGCTTTGTTTTTAGACACATTTAGCGTATGATGGATCAAAAATAAAATGAGAGCGAAAAGACTGCAGAATTTTCTTTTTTTTTTGTAGCGTAATTCAAAATAGATCTTCCAATTTCTCTCTCGCTCGTGTCGGACGCGCGTGAGGAGCGCGCCGCTCGCGGATTGTATTGTCCTGTCGTAAATCGATCAGAAACGTTCCGGTTCAGATGGACGACGAGCATCATTGAGAATAACTTATCGATGTAGGACGTGTTCGCGCGCGGCGCGAGATCAGACCGTGACGTACGATCTTATATATTCGCGAACTGGGCGCCCGGAGCAGTATTCTCCCGCGTGCTTTTCTCCTATGGGCACACACCATCTATGTCCCGTCAAAATTTCAATTTCCGCTGAGCATTCTATCGCGATAGCAATGCGTCTCCTCTCGTTCCGCCGTTTATCACCCGCAGGTGAGCTTGGATTGTAGCGCACACGCGCTGGGCGGGCACCGGAACAAATGGATCGCGAAGTGTGTTCATCTTGCCGGGGGTATTGTTCGGAGGAGGAGACGGAGAATACCGTGTAACACGCGGAAAGTCAGAGAGAGAGAGAGAGAGAGAGAGATGAATACATTCGCGAGAAAACGCGCGCGCGCCGACGAAAGTTGCGAGCGAGCGAGAGAAGTATGCGTGTGTGTGTGTGTGTAACAGCGGGTATACATGTAACACGCAGAGAAACGCAGAGGCAGACAATCTGTCTCGAATATCAAGCGAGGAGAGCGGGGGCCAAAGTTCGCGCCGCCGTCAGTTAAGAGCTGAATATCGTTCGATTATGCCGAGTATTTTATCGTTCTCCGGCTAGCGCGGCATCGAGCGCGGGGAGTTGAAAGTTCGCGCGCTATCGCATAATTGAAACGCGGCAAAATGGATTCTGACCTATTTTGCAACGACGGAAAGATACGCGGCGGCAAAGTTCCCGGCGAAGTCGCGCTCCACGGTATTATGAACGTTAACGGCAAGTTTGAGTTTAATTTTTACGAGCGGCGCGCGTATTCTTTCCTTCTCCTTCTTCCCTTCCGAAACTCTGCGGAAACTTCGCGGCTAAATTATCGCGCTAAAAGATGCGGGTACGTTCTTCGTGGGGCCCACATAAATAGACTCGGGGAGTATCCTCGAAAAAGATTCGAAAGGATCGTTCTCGCAAATCGAAGAAGGCATCGTTCGGCAATCGAACTGGAACGGACACCGAGAAGAGATTCGCAAGGCGCCCTTTTCCTTCTTCCCTATCGTCTCGCAGGAAACCAGACGCGGGTCTCACTCCCGAACTGTCACAAGCACAACGACGTTCCCGACGACGAATCGATATGACGCGTCTTAGAAAGGACCCGCCGATCCCGCAAGGAATAACATTCTACGCGCTGACTAGGACATTTCCTTAGGGGAGGATGGATGTCATCTTCTCGGACTGATATGTGCGTGTCAGTCCAAGTTGCGCGATACATCGCTCCCAGTGCGCCGTCTATCTCTCCCCGTCTCTCGCTCCCCGCGCACGTCCGAAATTATCTTCAATAATTATGACGTCGTTTACAGGAAGAAGTTGGGACGGAAGGAACTCTCCGAATCTCGCGCGTTTCCCGTCCGTGTAATAATCGGCGTGACGCTCGACAATGACGACAATGGCAGCCGGATAATCGCAAATTATTATACCTCGTAAACGACAAACACGCCGTTTTGAGCGGCGCAAAGGGCGCGGGCGATTTATGATGTCTACTCGGTGCATCTCGCTCTTCTTGCAATTAGTCCCGTCTCCCCGGTGGTGGTAAATTAGACTCTCTCCCTCTAAAAAGCTAGTCTGTCTCTCCGGCGCGAGATTACCAACCAGGAACTTGGCGCGCGCGATAACCCGCGAGAATCTATTTCGCCGTCTCCACGGCCATCGATCGCGCCTTATTTTCTTGCCGACGCGGCGCCGCGGACGATGTCACGTCAGGGCATATCGACGTGTTCGCGCGCGGAGAGAGACTTATCGCCACGTCGATTCGCAGTCGTTTAGTCGCGTGAGACGACAAACGCGCACGGCCAGAGAGAACAGATCGACCGGAAGTTTCGGAGAATTCGGTCGAACGAGTCGAATATCGTCGTCGACGGCAGTTAGCGAACGACATATTCCGCGCGACAAGCTCGACAGTTTTACGGATTCATCGTTTCGATGAGAAAAATGGAACACCGCGTTAAAAACAACACCTCAAAAACAACAAACGTCGTCGTTGGCGCCACACTTCGACCCGGTGCACGCGCTTCCCCGCGTGTTTGTTCCACGCTTTGTACACACGTACGTATCTATTCGGTCTCATCGGCATCAAACGCTCCAAACTTACGGCCGTATTAGCGGTAACGCTTTAACCTGCTATATCCCGTTTTCAAACTTCAGCCTCGGAGTTTCGACGCAATATTTCCGACAAACTCGACAAAGTTAATACGAGCCCGCGTGTGTCTCATGTTGTGTGTTGCAGCGTAGAGTCACATAACGTCTAGCGCGCCGGCGTCCTCTCGCTCGTTTACGATCGCCAACTTCTATCGTTAGTTACTTAGCTACTTAATTTTTTAAGCACGATCTACACCTAAGCTGTATCGTCTAGCACACACACCAGCTTCTAGGAGTGTAAAATACGACTCACGGATGACGTTAGCGCAACACTTGCACTATATGAAATCTCGAATACGGCATCTATGCGGCGAAACGGAGGAAGTTAAAGGAATAAAGGACGGATTCACGGACGATCCTTTAAATACCACCTTGGAGTAGACCGTTTTGCATTTCGGGAGTTATTCCGCGCGAATAGTAAAACGAGGTGCCGGAATCGTTGATTACAATTGCAAAGTTGATAGGTGGTGGAAGGGGATCTGAAGGGGTCAGGAAGGAAGGAAACGGCGAAGGGAGCACCGGCGACGGCCACCGAACCAGCCGTCGGATACGCGCGCGCCGCCAAACTGCGAGACGACGCGGTGGAGGATCTTTTGTAATGTAGATCGCAGGGACGATTTTAACGACAGTTATATCCCTCGAAAGTGTGATAAACAACCCGCATGCGCCCGTATATGTAGGTACACACAACTCGGAGAGACCGGTGGTATCCACGCCGCAGCATCGGGACTTGGAGACGTAGAGAGTGCGTCGTATAGCCCGGAGTAACATAAATTGCCAGCTCGTATATACTTGAACATTCTTCCACGGCCCGGTATTATAAAAGTTCTTGTGAAACTTTATCAATTTTACGGATACGCCACGTGTACCGGAAAAAAAGAAATGAGGGCACGTTTACTCTTTTCCTATCTCTCTCTCTCTCTCTCTCCCCCACTCTCTCTCTCCTGTTCGCTCTCGATCCCATCCTACGCCTTTCTTTGAAAGCTTTTATATATGTACGGCGTGTATGTACACCTGTGTACGGGGGCCGCGTGCTTGAATTCGTACATACATACTCATTCGCATATACAAGACGTTATCGAGCACGGCGATATTGTCGAGGATTGCCGCGTATAAGCTCCCAATTCGGATCTCGCTAAAATATCGCTCCGAAAATAGGGATCGACATTAAAGTTTGTGCGTGCGGAAAATCCCTTTTCTAATTTACGGAAATCGGCGAACATTTTTTCTGTCATCTCGCGCTGGCTCTTGAATCACTTTGGTTTCACGCGCAATTAGATGCCGCAAAATCAAACAATCGCTCCCCCCATTGTAATAAAATACGATTTATTCGTAGTGTAGTATATGTTTAAGATCTTGCGAAGGAGCTCTGCGGAATAATGATGCGCACATATAAGATTACGTACTTTGTTTTTATCGAGAAGGGAAAAAAAGAAAGAAAGAAAGAAAAAAGCGAGAGATCTCGCGGTGGAGAATTGTTCTCGTTCTGGCAACCTTGAAAAATTGATGCCGTAGGTCGCCTCGATTCTAGGCTTTATCGGAGTAACGGACAACTAAACGTACCGTTTTATTGGATCCTCGTGCTCCGGAACGTTGCAAATATCGAGACTCTCTTTTCTCTTGGATAGTAGTCGTACGTGAATCTCAATCGCGTAGCCGCCACGGCGAAACAAAATAGGTTTTCCGTCTGCCTCGTTGTAACTCGCCGGTTATACGGAGATTCGTTCGACCGACGCGCAATCCCGGGAGTATCCTGTGGATACCGTCAAAGTTCGAAGTACGACGTTGTCCGATAACAAACACGGCGAAATTGTTGACCCATGTTCGCGCTCCTTCAGCACACCGTACGTAGTTATAATATCTGCAGCATCCGGTGCATTGTTAAACCCAACTATATACACACGAGTTTCTCTAACAACCCTGCGCGATCCTGCGAAGCTTTTTGTTCTTATTTTTTTTTTTGCGCGGTACATAGTCGCGAAATTATAATTTAAACAAAAATGTTACTATCGCCGCGCAATTTGTCGTGTGAGTTTACGCGCGAGGCGTCACTAATTAGTAATCGCGGAGACTCTCTTGAATTAATCCGGGAATTTTAAATGAGGTTTTCGGACAAATATATACGCGCGAGTAATAAAATTGGCACCTTATTACGAGGTCATCACATACGCGAAGCAATTCATTGTCGGCGCGGCGCTGCGCTGTCGTCGGTGCGTTCTCGTCAAACTGCGAAACACGCCGCGCATTGCGGTGTTCAAATAACATCCTGTAATTTCCGCAAAAAAAAAAAAAAAAAAAAAAATATACAAAGCGCGGAACAAACGCGCGACGGTCTCGTTACTCTAACTCTCTCCCCGCGCGCCTCGCGTAATCGGGGACATAGCTTGTTGCGAGCGTGAAACAAGGGGCGCGGGAAAAAAAAAGAGAGCAACTCGAGCGGGAGGTCATTTCAAAATGAAAACCTTCGTTGAAACGCGAGACGCCGACGATATATAGATGTATAAAATAGAAAGAGCGTATCGTGAAGGCGTCGTTGCCAACCGCTGAACGATATGGGAAAGGAGAG